AAAAGAGGGCAGGAGCCTGGCACAGGACCACGTCCTGCTCTGGCTGATGCGCTGGGCTGGGTACGCTCCCCAGCCGCTTTGCAATAGGGACGGGAGAATGAGCCAGGGCAGAGAGAGGGGTTGCCCCCATCCCAGGACGCCAGGGATGGAGAGGTGATGCACGAGGAAGCCTCCAGCATCTGCTACCAATGCAAAGTGGACCTCCTGCTCAGCACTGGAAGTGGGGACCTTTGCAGCTGATACCACTGTATTATTGAGGCTACCTGTGAGCAGCATCAGAAATCAGTTTCATTTCACTTTTAGCAGTATCAAACCACTACACCTTTGGGTACCAACTCTTCTGCCACTTGAGCAAAACCACACAAAACTGACCCCCAAAGTGGATGGTGGGACCCTGGGCCACAGCCCCCACCTGAGCAAAGCATGGACAACATCAGAGACATGGTCCTTCATTCCACAAGACCTGGACAGCCCCATGTCCTAGCAAGAGCTGCCCAAGCCCTGTGAAGCACAACAGCACACACTTTGCCCCGTATGTGCTAAAAATTATTTGGGGGCCAAGAGAAACATACCAAACCTTAAATGAGAACCATAGCTTCAAGTCCTAGTTTGGAGATAATAAAATATCTGCAGCTGAACATCTTGGAAGGTTGCTGCCGGTTAGGGCAAGGTGGACAAAGTCCCCAAGGCAGTGCAGACTGCAGCAACTGCCCTCCCCAGTAAGTTTTTATGCCTGCTTCATCTCCTACCTGGGGTGTCCAGAATGGGTGTCCCCTCTGCAGCTGTATACGGGAGAAAAAGGCTGTGTGGGGAAGGGATGAGGAAGGGTAGAAGAAACCCCTCTGTATAAAAATACACTATAAAATTCTAAAAATTGTAAAATCTTGAAAAAAATAATGCATCCGTCCAAGAGCTAATTGAAAACTATACTGAAAGTCCTGTGTTTAGTCAGGGCTGCTGAAAACTATTTAGACAGAGTGAAACTATTTCACCCACACTGTGAAGTAGATGCCATGGCTAAGGGATGTTAACAGAGACTGCTATAATATCAAAAAAACAACCCCTTCCCTCCCCCAATCCTCCCCCAAAAGAGAGATAAAACTTGTAAATGACTACTGTCCTCAAGGAATGTCTGTAATTAACCTGCTCTTACTTTCTTCTTTTGAACCTTTTTCTTTGGTCTCATTTCCTATGTGGCTCCCTTTCCTGTCCATTTTAACCATATATTCGCATATTCCCTCTGTTTATTAGCTCAGTATATCATCCTAATACTGGAAATGTTCCTTTTAGTGCAGCACCATTCCCTGCTTTTGCTCCCTTCACTTCTCCTGCTCCTTTTCATTTGATATTGCTTTCCCTTACTTGCCTTCCCTTATGTGGTCCCTTTTCCTTGGAGGGAAAAGAACAAAAAAAAAGTCAAGTCTGGATTAGGTGCCTAGTAGGCAAATACTTTACATTTTAAATATACAGCTTTACCCCAAAAGGATCTACCCTGAGAAAAATTACTTAAGAGGATGTTGATCCTGGAATATCCTTTTCCTATTTATAGCTCTTTATGCCATTTATTTCTCTTTTGAAGACTTGGCTTCTGATATTAATATTCTTAGGGAAGGATGATCTATCTCAAAAGCGCTGAAGGACAGAGAAGCCCTGAGGCCACTAACTTTCCCTGGGATGCTGGGTTCCCAAATCTTATGGGCACCTAAATGAACAACCTCCTTTTGAAATATGGCATCTTTGGCCAACTTGTCACTTTCCTCATTATTCTATTCAATATATCGCAGTCACCTCAAGACCACGCTGTGTTTGTTTCCAAGGCTTTTTGCTTTCCCCATACCTGCCACGGACACATAAGGAGGCAGATAAAGGCAGAGCATCTCCCACAGCTCCCGTGAAACGAGTTCCATAACCCAGCTCATTTGTCACGATGGTGGTGGCGGCCAGAGGAGGGAGAGGGGAAGAAGCAGGGGTGTATCCGCTCCTGGAAGCTGACCTGCTTCCCACGTCACCTGCTCTATGTGTCCTCAGAGCAGAAGGGAGCCTCTCTCGTGGCGTCAAGTAGCTGGGGACAAGTGATCGGTGGGAGTTGTTTTCATCACTCGCCGAGCAAAGAGTGGAAAGGGAGCTGCAAATCACACTGGAAGTGTAAAAATGCATATAGTTATCCACGAAACTTGGTGCCAGGAAAACAATTAAAAGGAAACTCAATTCTAGGTTATGGTTTGCATGAGTGAATGTGGTCTCGATCACAGACACAGATAGGCTTGTACAGAGCCTTCCTAGAACATCTGCTGGGCGAACAGAAGAGCAGAGGGCCATGCCTGAATGGGGGACTTGGGTGTTCACGCTTTATTCTCCTCTCTCATGCAGGTCAGAAACTCACCCAGCAGAAGATCTGCCCCACCACAGTAAGAAGTATAGCAAATAAAATTATTTACAGGAACTGTGATAATTGCACTGTAAAATTGATTTTTTTTCTTTCCTGGTCTTGCAAACTCCAACAGAGAAATAGAAATGAACACGGCTTTTCAGTGCAATAAATC